TGGCTGGAAGACCTGCCAAGAGAGCATTGCAATAGTCCAGCATGGATAGAACAAGAGCTTGAACAAGGAGTTGCGTTGCATGTTCTGAAAGTAAGGGCCTGATCTTCCTAATGTTGTATAAAGCAAATCTGCAGGACTGGACAGTTTTAGCAATGTGGTCTGAGAAAGTCAGCTGATCATCAATCATAACTCCAAGGTTTCTGGCTGTTTTTGAAGGAGTTATGGTTCATGTGCCTAATTGGATGGTGAAATTGTGATGAAACGATGGGTTTGATTGAACCACAAGCAGCTCTGTCTTGGCAAGGATGAGTTGAAGGTGATGGTCCTTCATCTAGCAAGAAATGTCTGTTAGACAAACTGAGATGCGAGCAGCTATCGTCGGATCATCAGGATGGAATGAGAGGTAGAGTTGAGTGTCATCAGCATATCAGTGATATGAAAAGCCATGTTTCTGAATGACAGAACCTAGTGATGCCATGTAGACAGAGAAGAGAAGTGGTCCAAGTACCGAGCCCTGAGGCACCCCAGTATTTAGATGTTGTGACTTGGACACCTCACCTCTCCAAGATATCTTGAAGGACGTATCTGAGAGATAAGACTCAAACCACTGGAGTGTGGTTCCTGAGATACCCTTTGCCAATAGGGTTGACAGGAGGATCTGGGGGTTAACCGTGTCAAAAGCGGCGGACAGATCCAGCAAGATATTGAAAATATAAAATATTCAATAATTTAACATAAAATATATAAAAAATAAGGTATATAACAACATAGAATAGCATATGCGGTGGTAAAATTTGAATTGTGCTGCAGTGAATGTGTAACTGCACTCCCTCAGTAGCCCTTGCATGTTCTTGCACTAACTTTTTCCTATTTACTAGGCACATTCCTTAATTTGTAGAAAAAACTAACCACTCGACGCACCATAAACATGGCAATTTAAACAAAACACTCCAAAACAGACACTAACAATCACAAACAGGTGTTTCTTGGCTCTAAGACTTGTAGAAATTTATAAGGCCCTTAAAAACATCCCTGGCTCTTGTTGAGTTCACAGTTTGAATGGGGAGCTCCGGCTCTTTTTCATTTAGCCACAATAAATGAGTGTGTGTGTGTGTGTGGCACAGGAGTATTAGATTCTGCCTCACCCGATGTAAGCGATCCACAATAACAGTTCACACACATCGAGTCATTCATGAAATGCTGTTAAAAGCCCCCTCCCATGATGCTTAGCAGCTCCTCTGGAAGCCACAGGCAGGCCGCCAGCTT